TGTCAATGGCAGTGTAAAACTTTTACAACTACATTTTTCATATCACAACTATTCTCCTCCTACCTGTGATCTAATTATTCTAAACAGTGTCAATGGCAGTGTAAAACTTCTACAGTTACAACTTTTACATTACACAAATTAATTCTCCTCCTACCTGTGATCTAATTATTCTAAACAGTGTCAATGGCAGTGTAAAACTTCTACAGCTAAAACTTTTTAATTACAATAATTAATTATCCTCCTACCTGTGATCTAAATAATCTAATCAGTGTCAATGGCAGTGTAAAACTTCTACAGTTACAATGTTTACTTGGGGTTAAACAGTGTGTCTGGAACTATATTTTCTTGTGGATTAACACACAGGAATTGTGTTAATCAGTACCGCTTTTCCATGTTGCAACTTGATAACCCTATTTTCTGTTGACAATCAATACGCCCAGTGAGACAGGATGAGAGCGAGATGTTACTCAATCTGATGTTACCGGTTGGATTTGTATGCAAGGGAGAGTTCGGGCATTTCTTTGTTTTATATAATTTCAGTTATAATAAAACTAATAAACGGAAGACACCCTGTTTGACTGAGGTCTTTTGTGAATCACAACTATGTTCCTCCCACCTGTGACGCGGCAAAGGCCAGTTTCTCCAGGCCCACCACGTATCTCCTCTTGGCCTTCATCGTCTCGTCCTGTTTGCTCCGGAGCAGGTTCTTGAAGGCGTGGATCAGCTCGAGGTACGAGGTGGGGGTCACGTAGTTGTGTCGGCCGAGCTCCACCAGGAACCTTGGGATGTACACGTCGTGATTTTAAAAAAAAATTCAAAATGCTTTCCGTAACAAAAGACTAACACGTCTAGACTAACTTGTGTGCTAACAAGTTATCGCTGTCGGCATTCGCAACCGATCCTGAGGCACTTCTATGATCGTCGGAGCGTGTAAAAAGCCTGAAAAACCATGCCCAGTTACATGTCGTGATTGTTTCAGAAAAAGAACACAACTGAAGGAGAACATCAATTTGTGATGACAACCTCAAGGTAGAGCCTGCTGAGAAGGGACAAGGATGCATGGATAGAATCCGTCCCTGAGACAAGGATTTATGGATAGAATCCGTCCCTGAGACAAGGATTTATGGATAGAATCCGTCCCTGAAGATCCAAGTAATCAAGTGATCAAGAACACAGCACACAAGACTCGGGCAACAAAGTACGGTTGTTTTAGTTTCGCTTCAGTAAGAGTTTTATGGCACTTGCAACACAATAAGGTCATACAAGTGCTGAAGATTAGAGGTGTTACAAGAGAGTAACAAACATAAATAAGAAGGAGGAGAGATAAGGACGATTGATGTTTGCTAGGAAAGAAAGAGCAAACCACACCAGAGCACCCGCCAATCACCCATAGTTTCACTGTCTAAGTCAGAATATTATAATACAGGTTTTTGGATGATGAGAGGTTTTTAAAACCCAGAAATATATATATATATATTTCTACCAAAACATAGATCTGAGAGCGTACCTGACAGAGAACTCTCTGACACTCTGGTGAAAGTAGCGGCACAAGGTAACGACCGACTCCTTCTCGTTCACGTCTATCTCCGCGTTCTCCAGGAATTTGTGCGCCACACGGGACAATGCATCGTCGGGCCACGCCTGGGGGGAAACATGTATGTGGAGACGTGATTTTGAGAGAGAGAGAGAGAGAGAGAGAGAGAGAGAGAGAGAGAGAGAGAAAGAGAGAGAGAGAGAGTCAGGGGGTGAGAAGGAGTAGAGAGAGAGGAGAAGCTACAGAAAGAGGGTGGCCGAGAGAGGGATAAAAGAGAGAGAGAGAGAGAGAGAGAGAGAGAGAGAGAGAGAGAGAGTATGAGTGCGAGAGAAAAAGAGAGAGAAACAGAGAGACACAGAGAGATACAGAGAGAGATAGATAGATAGAGAGAGACAGACAGAGAGAGAGAGACAGAGAGAGAGAGAGAGAGAGACAGAGAGAGAGAGAGAGAGAGAGAGAGAGAGAGAGACAGAGACAGAGACAGAGACAGAGACAGAGTACCAACTTCAAGCCTTTGTCATGCAAGAAGAACTTCATGACCATGTTCTGCCACCTCCCAAGGATTGAACAGGAGAATTCCAAAGATACTATGTAATAGAATCTACACACCTTCTTTTCCAGCACACAAATCTCCTAAATCTTCACAGGCTGCCAATCCAACAAAGCAGACAGACAGACAGACAGACAGACAGACAGACAGACAGACAGACAGACAGACAGACAGACAGACAGACAGACACAAGTAGAAGAAAGGATTATTACCTCCAGCAATACAAACTTCCCGATTAAAAAATTTTTAAAAAAAGAAATTTGAAATTTTCTTCCAGAGAACATTGTAACTTTTCTCCAGAAAACTGTTATTTTTTCCTCAGGACTTTGTAATTCTCTTCCACAGAACTTTTGAAACTTTTGTTCATGAGAACTTTGAAACTATCTTTCAAAGAGCTAGATCTATGTAATAATTTTTTCTTAATTTTTTTTCCACTTGAACTTTTACAATTTCCTTATAATATTTTTTTCATTAGAACTTTTACAATTTCCTCAAACTTGTTTTCCATGAGAACTGTTATAATTTCCTTATAACTTAAAAAAAAGAGAACTTTAATAATTTCCTCAAAACTTTTGTTGATATGAGAACGTTTTTTTCCCATTAGAACGTTTACAATTTCCTCATAATTTTTTTATCAAACAAACTTGTAATCCACCTCCTCGCGAAGAAGCTATGTTCCGGCTGACTGACCTGGAACCAGTCAATGGTGCAGCAGTTGATGAGAGACGGGAACTGCCGTAGCCGGTTCCTGAAGGCGTCTCCGATAGGGCTGAAGGCGATGATGATGTGTAGATTGGCCCGGCAGCGGTTCACGAAGAAGGCGAACAGAGCCAGGGGACTTAACTCTGCGTTCTTGTCCCCTGTGGCAATGGCGGCCGGCACACGGACAGCCTGAGGGAAAGATGATCATGTTTTTTAAAAAAATAGTTTTAGTAAGAGTTCTACGGCACTTGCAACACTACAAGGTCATATAAAAGTGCCAAAGATTAGAGGTGTTACAAGGGAGTAACAAACACAAAAAAGAAGGAGGGGAGATAAAGACGATAGATGTTCGATAGGAAAGAAGAAGCAAACCACACTAGAGCACTCGCCAACCACCGACAAATGCTCATGTTTTAACCAACTACATTCTGTGATTATTGTAATGCGAACAGAGGATGCTGTAGAACATGAATAAACGCTATACAAACGCAGTTATTTTTGTTTTATTCTTATTCTGTCAATGTAGTATTTACCAGTAACACCTAGCAACCACCCACGGTACATGTATATATATGGCCTGTGTTTGTCAATAGAGTCACCCGTTGTTGAGGGGAAAAGTGTCCGTCTTACACAGTGTCGATAAAATCTATATTATTATTATATTGGTGAAAGTTCGTCACTTTGGTCGCTTAAAACTTCCGAACCACTTAATTTTCGAATTTGAAAAAAATTAACGGTGATTCAGAATCATTCAAAGGGTGCAGTTATATTAATGAGTCGGAAGTCAGTGTAGTTTAATTTTCAGTTTTTCATTAGTTTCGTTTAGATCTAGTCTTGGGAAAATCCGTCTTCTAACACACCATTGTGAACAAGCGAGGCTTCCGTTCACAAGCAGTGCGCAGTGATTCCACAATGACTTGACAATCGATTCTTTTGAGTCCGTTCATCGAACGGGTACACAGCTAGTGTAAAATAAATGTAAAAGGGAATTGGGAAGTGGTCATTTGTCCAGGTTATTGCTTATACAGTCGACTGTAAGAGCAGGTTCTACTGTATCTTGTCTTATCTTAACTCATCATACCTCATTTTATTTTATCTTATTTAAGAAAACAGCACCTACTTCCATAATTTCTGCCTTCTCGTCGGACTGGAAGAGGTTCGGAACTTCCCCAGAGTTGAGGAGGGCGTCGATGTCTTCCAGGAACGTCTCGCTCTTGATCTGAGCGTCCGTGATGAGGAACACGCTCTTGGTGCCTTTGCCACCCGCCATCTTCAGGACACGCTGGGCAAGAGTTATTAATAATAATAAATAGCATTTGTATAGCGCATATCCCCGCTCAACAGCAGGCTCTAGGCGCTTTACACTATATTATTACCCCAGCAGATCATAGAACACTCGGAAACGTTCTCAGCTTCCCGGGAAGCATACAGTGCAAGCAGCTGATTAAGCGCTCAAACACTAACAAACTGACAAGATCTTTCGCTGTCTATAGCCGGGTACCCATTCCCACCTGGGTGAAGTGAGGAAAATTTGTGCAAAGTGTCTTTCCCAAGGACACAACGTCGGGCCCCTGACGGGATTCGAACCCACGACCTTACGGTTGCGAGTCCGAGAGCTTAACCACTAGGCCACCGACGCCACAAAATTAATTATTGTAAAATTAATGTTTCACGCCCCCATCGACTCAATTTAGATCATAAAGGTGGCGGGCTGCCTCCACCCTACCTGCTCAGTTCAAACCAAAATAAGAGTTTTAAAAGGCTACATTTACAATCCTTCAATACACCTGTGAATACTGAAAAATTACTAAAGAGATAAAATAAACTAGAAACAACAGAAATGTGGTTTCTTATGAGACTGTTGAGAATTTCATGTAAGGAAAAGTAATCAAATGAGGTAGTGCTGAAAGAATTGAAAGAAAAAAAAATAGGACCAACCAGCGGTGCACTCAAACCCCCTCAGACAAAATACACAGAAACAAACAACAAGAAGCACAGTAACAACAGAAGAAACAAAAAAAGTAGGACCTACCATTGGCACCCTTCATCCACCCAGCTACCAGTGATCAATCTACATCCCCCCCCCCCCCCCCAGGGCAGTGCTACAGACTGAAGTGTCTTTAGGCCATTCCCAAAGGGGGAATAGTAACATGTTGTTATGCACAGTAGAATTGTAAATGGGCGGATTTATCAATGTCATGCTCATACTGTGCCGGAGCAACATTGGGGGAACTGCTGCTTTTTCTTTCCTCATCCTTACTGTCGTCATTTTTCCTCTACTTCTTTTGTATATTTGTTACTCTCTTGTGAACTGCTATTTCAGGGGTGCCTTGATAGTCGAAGCAGATTTTGTGCAGTTAAAGCTAGAGAGTTGAGCAGGGAAAGTCTGATTCCCTCTATGGACTTCTCTGTTGACATCCAGCCCTTGGCGCTCATATGACCTTATGCAGTTGCGAGCGCCATAAAAACTCTACAAAAACTAAACTAAAACATTTTTCCTTAATCCTATCTGTACATTGTGTTTTACTATTGTATCCATACGACGTGGAGAACTCTGTGCCACCACTTTCCACAGAAGAAATTTACCCTTTAATCCGATCCGTACGCTACGCATAGCAGTCTGTCAAAATGATTTTTTGAGAAATATGGAAAGTTTCAAAGAGATCTTCGCAGCAGAAGTATTCTAGAATGTGAAGAATACAACCCCGGAGGTACAAAATGACCCCAGGACGTACAGACAGGGTTTTTAGTTTTAGTAGAGGTTTTACGGCGCTCGCAACTGCATAAGGTCATATGAGCGCCAGAAGATTAGAGGTGTTACAAGAGAGTAACAAACATAAAAAAGAAGCGAAGATAAGGAAGATAGATATTTGATAGGAAAGAAGGAGCAAACCACACCAGAGCACCCACCAACCGCCCGAACAGACAGGGTTAATGGCGTAACAACCACCCACCTTGATATCATCCCTCCAGTCGGCCAGCCCATAGTTCTTGGTGATCTCCGGCTGAAACAGGACGTTTTCAGCCATGGCGGCGGCGAGTCGGGTGAGTGACTGTCTGCCGCTGCCCCCGACCCCGACCAACAGACCATTGCCGCCGGGCTGTCTCAGGATGCGGCAGATACGAGACAGGTGCTCCAACACGTATCTGGCACAAAACATGGACAGTGATTTTTTCAGTAAGTTTTAGTATCTATCACAAGGTATGGACAGTGATTGTAATTGCAGTCATAGATACAGTTGACTTTGGAATTTTTAAAAATTATTTTTTTTGTAAGTGTTTTCGCCGCTCACAACTGCATAAGACAGCAGTAAGAAGCAGCCAAGGGGTAGCAGTAGAAAGGCTGCAGAAAGAGTCAGGAGCCCAAAGGAGGGAGCAAAGAAGGTGAGGGGGGTGGGGGTAGAAAGTGGAGACGAAAGCAGACGACAGAACATTGTTAGAGAGCAGGAAAAGAGATGAAAGGAGACAATGATAACGAGGTTCCTCCAGACCTGAATATAACGCGCTTCATCCATCGCTTCTCAGCCTTTTATTGGCTTAGACCAAAGGGTAGCTTCTGTTCCCCACTTTTCCCCCAGCCTTGTGCCCACTGGTAAGCGGGACTGACATTGCAGAAACTGATGAGGCCTGGAAAAACCCGGGCCTCGATTATATCTAGTGGAGGGTTGTCGTCATCTTTAAACAAACAAAACAAAAACAAAAAACGAAAAAAACAACAGGTTCATCCCGACCTGAATATGACTAGGTTCATCTCATCCTATCCTGACCTGAATATAACGAGATTCATCTCATTGTGACCTGAATATAACGAGATTCATCTCATTGTGACCTGAATATAACGAGATTCATCCTGACCTGAACATAACGAGATTCATCTCATCCTGACCTGAATATGACGAGGTTCATCCTGGTCTTGTGTGTCTGGTTGTACTCGTCCAGACATCCGTTGACCACCGTGTTGAACTCCTCCAGTGAGCCGATCTCCTGGTACGTGCGCATGTCTGGGGGGTTGTCGGGCTCCATGTAGTCTCCGAACATCAGGTCTCGCAATGTCTCTTCTGTCACCTGGTGGGGTACATGTGTTGGTTTGTTTGTGTGTTTGTTTGTTTGTTTTTTAACTGTTAAAGAAGGAAAGAAGAAGGAAAGAAGAAGGAAAGAAGAAGGAAATAAGATGAAACGAAGAGGGACGGCAGGATATTGTCGGGCTCCATATAGTCGCCAAACATGAGGTTTCATAATGTCTGTTCTGTCACCTGGTGGGTAAGATGTGTTGAGGGAAGAAAGGAAAAAGAGAGCAGGACAGTAGAAGGAAGAAAAAAGTAAGAAGGAAAAAGGGAGAATAAGGAGAAAGAAAGAAGTTTGAAAAAAAGAAGCAAGAAAGAATGCAGAAGAGAGAAAGACATAGTATATCTTATCCTATCTCATCTTATTGTACCTTGCTTTTGTTTCATCTTAACTTGTCTTATCTTATCTGTGTCCATCTTGTCTTACCTTATCTTTCTCTGATCTTATAATATTTTGGGTTAGATATAATTATCTTCTCTCAGTCTTAACCGTATCTTACATTTTCTGTTATCTTATCTTTGTTTCATCTTACATTATCTTATCTTATTTGAGGCTATCTTTTCTTAAATCATCTTTGTCTTATCTTACCTTATCTTAGCTTTACCTTGAAACATTTTTTGTTGCATCTATCTAATCTTAATCTTATCTTTCCCTTCCTCTTATCTTATCTTTGTTTCATCTTAGATTAGCTTATCTTAGCTGTGTCTATCTCGTTTTACCTAACCTTTGTCTTATCTTACCTTACCTTAGCTTTATCTTAAACATTTTTGTTGCATCTATCTTATCTTAATCTTTTCTTACACGTCCTGTTATCTTAACCTTATCTTACACTTCCTATTATCTTATCATACACTTTCAGTTATCTTATCTTTGTCTCCTCTTACTTTCGTCTCTCCCTCAGACAACAGGTGACTAAACAGTCCTTCCACTTTGAACTTCATCACGTCCTTACAGAGACCTGACACCAACCTGAAAGGGGGGGGGGGGGGGGGGGGGAAGGAGGGAGGTAGGAGGAGGGGGTGAGGAGAAGTTTGGAGTTTTTTCCAGTTTTAGTAGGAGTTATGTGGCACTTGCAACAACATTAAGTCAGTTTTATTCGGAGTTTTACGGCACTTGCAACACAATAAGGTCATATAAGTGCCGACGAAGATTAGAGGTGTTACTAGAGAGTAACAAACACAAAAAAGGAGGAGAGATGGAGATGATAGATTTCTTATAGGAAAGAAGGAGCAAACCACCAAAGAGCACACGCCAACCAGGGCTTAAAACATTTACACAATTACACCTAGGCTACATATTACAGATGGAGGAATAAATAATGCTTAACGCTATCTAGTACTCATGCCAACGTTCCAGTTTTGACATAATCCCTGTAAAAGCACAGAAGTCAACACGCAAAATCAGGGGCTGATACAAGAGGAAACAGTCCCTCTAACAAAGAGAACTGTAGAGCATCGTGTGATGAAATCAGGCGCTCGTCATAATAGTTAAATCGAAGAAACCGCCATTTTTCTGCTGGTTTGGCAATTTTTAGCGAAGTTTTACTTTTGGGCTCAACATCTTTTATGCCCATATAAAAATACATTTCTTTGTGGTTTTTACCGAAAAACATTGATTAAAGGGACAAACACTATACGTTTTAGATGTTCAAGAACTCTCAAGCTATGTAAGTCATCAAACTTTGGTTATTTCTCTCTAATTTTATTTAGGAAACCAGGTGACCTCCACTTCCTTCAATCGAAAACATCTTGACTTCTATTCAAGATAGAAGGGTATTTTTTTTCATCCCAAGCAAGGCTAATGAATAGGCTTTGAGTGTATACCAAAAACTTCATGTGCCCAAAAATTGACAAGCGCCTGATTCCACTGCGTCGTGACACATATTACTGATGGAAGAATAAATAAGAAGATAACTCGTGAGTTTAAAAGCACTGTCGTCTACGCAAAAACATGGGTTGACACAAAAGGAAACTGTTTTTCTTTAGTTAAGTAAGAGTTTTACAGCGTTCCCAACTGCATAAGGCCATAAGAGCGTGCAAAACACAAGTTCCAAACAGTTCACAGCACAGCTTGCTTTAACAGAAAAGAAATGTGTACTCACTGAAAGAGAAAAGTGTACTACTCATTAATGTGTACTCACTGAAAAAGAAAAGTGTACTACTCATTAATGTGTACTCACTGAAAGAGAAAAGTGTACTACTCATTAATGTGTACTCACTGAAAGAGCCAGGCGCGGTCCGCATCGTCTGTGAGTCTGTCATAGAACACGCGGAACACCTCGTGCACCCACAGTCTGTGGTGAGAGTTAGTTTTTAGTTTTAGTAAAAATTTTACAGCCCTCGCAACTTCATAAGGTCATATGAGCGCCGAAGATTAGAGGTGTTACAAGAGAGTAACAAACAAGTTTTAGTAGAGGTTTTACGGCGCTCGCAATTGCATAAGATCATATTATTTATGAGCGCCAAGAGATGGATGTCGACAGAAAAGTCCAAACGGGGAATCAGGCTTACTCTGTTCACCTCTCGTGCTTCAACAGCACAAAGTCTGCTTCGACTATCAAGGCACCCTGGAAATAGCGGGTCACAAGAGTGGGACTTTTACTTTTCCGATCCAGACAAGAGTGTGACAAACATACAAAAGAAGTAGAGGGAAAATGACGAAAGTAAGGATTAGGAAAGAAAAAGCAACAGTTCCCTGTTGCAGTTCAGGCTCAGTTATGAGCATGACATTGATAAATCAGCCCATTTACAATTCTACTGTGCATAAGAACACGTTAATATTCCCCCTTTGGGAATGGCCTAAAGACACTTCAGTCAGTAGCACCGCCCTTGGGGGGTCTGCCGTGAGAGGGACAAGTTATTCTATGTTGAGGCAAAACAGGAAAGTCTTCAACACTGAGCAGATGCATTTCAAAGTTTGTTACGAAATATAACTGCATTGCCTATGAAAAATGTTACAAAGGTTATTGGTCACACTCCTTTCACTGTTTTGAAAATATGACAGCATAGACGTAGGGTAACAAACACACTAACAATGTCATCACTTAGAAGCGGCTCCCATGTGATTTTTCTGCATACTTTTATTAAATTTTAAAGCTAGGGATGAAGATGACGAATTATTTCCAAATTTCTGGTCCCACTACGCGAGGAGTTAGGAATGAGGGTTGTGTCATGCCCCCCAGGACAGCCTGGCGGGGATCTAGAGTAAGTGACAAACAAAAAATAAAATACGCTTAACTCTAAGATTAACATATACATTATTGTCAACATTAGATCATCATCATCATCATCATCATCATCATCATCATCATCATCATCATCATCAT